GGTCTGTATATTAATATATATGTTTAGTCTTATGTGCTCACATGAAATTGAAATCAAGTCGTAGAACGCAGCTTCTTCCCTACTTTTTAGAATGTCATCGAGCTCATGTTGGGCCCAGACGTACTCTGTTGGCGTACGCTGCTCGGTGTTAATTTAGTATGTATTATCAACACGCTGCAATTATTGAGAATTGTACTGTTAATGCGCGGAAGATCATTCTGCGGGACACAATGTACGTTTATACGTGTATCACATCCGTGTACGTATATTGAACTGGACAACGCAGTAATTGTATGCAGATATCAGTTATGGAACTATGCCACGCCTTGCACGAATCTCACAAAACAACGCGTGGTGAGATCTGCAAATTGTGACAACACATAAAGTCACGAGAAGCACACCTTGGCAAGCTTGAGGGATTGGTGGTATCCGCATCACATCAATCTTTAAGCTGTAGTACTATTCAAACATTACTTTCAGTGGTGAGAGCGAAATCGACTACTATAAGACAGCAGCTAACTTGAAAAATCGCCGTACCCACTTAACTACCACCTAAATCCAGACAATCACTACATCTAACGCTTGAATCCTGAACCCATGCACCACAGCACTCAAAAAGGAGTACCGGTTCTCCGGTGCGAAGATCGGGGTGTTCACATGGTCCGGGTGTGAAATCAAGTGTGTGGGGGATATGGCAGTTGTATACACCTCCGACTCGACACCCATGGTCTCGTATATTAACACACATGCGGCGCTTGAGCAACGGCGAACCCTGGCCGAAGAAGACCTTGAAAACAAGCGCAGAGGTCCCAGGTGTATGATCGTAGGGGCTGCAGACGTGGGCAAGAGTCGTGTCAGTCAGACGCTTATAAACTATGCTGTGCGCCGAGGTGAGTGGCCAGTGTTGTTTGCTTGTGGGTTTATATCCACATGCATACACGTATAGTACTTGCAGATGTGGGCTGACATCTGTATTTCGCATAGACGCGGATTATATTAGATCCGTGGATGCTAATTACTTTGGAATATGCCTTTTATGTCAACAGTAACAGTGTAATCGATCAGGTATTCTGTTTCGTATAGGACGCTTCACTGACTTTATGCGAGAGAGTGCCAAATCCCTTTTTTCTATCCTTAGTCTCCATACCCAAATCTTTAGTCTTCTCTCGGTATATAAGGCAGGAAACCTTTGCTGGTCGATTTGGACTGTGGCCAAGGGGCTGTGACTGTACCCGGGACTATTAGCGCGGCCCTCTTTGAACGTCCCACCGAACCAGAGCTGGGTATGACCAATTCCACCCCCCTGTGCTATCACTATGGATGCACAACGCCGGAGAGAAAGGTATGTAGCGGAACTACGAGGGGGTACGAGCGGATGTTTCTCTGATCGTGGCCTAGACCTGACACAATAGGTCTATTCTTGGTGTAGCGTTTGACATTATTTATGCTATGTGAGCGGGGTGCGCATACTACGATTCTTTTTAGCATTAACTTCATCTCTCGATTCCTTATCTTATATCTAACACCAGGAAACACACTATAAATATATCGTCGAAGCCTTGGCAAAAGGCTTAGATGAACGCTGCTTAAAAGATGACAAGGTAAGCGTGCACGCGCTTTGGTCTTTAGTGTTAAGGTGTCTGTTTCAATAGCATACCGTGTTTGAAAAGGATATAACTGTACTGCAGCATATGATCAACCCAATTATACACCGTAGTACGTGAGCAGAAATGACATTGCCATAGGCCGACATGCGCGGTGATGATTTTGTGTATGGTGTTTTCTGTAAAAGCTAGTTCTTTCCCCTCCGCACCCTTTTAGGGTAGATATCCCACATACGCAAAGTCCATGCACAAACAATACTCAGACTCGATATGGCGGGTGAGGAATGAATTCCTTGCAATTGCATAGTCTTTATTTAGCATTTTAGTGTCTACGAGCCGAACCCCATTTTCGTGTAGTGAAAGAAATTGACATTTCTTTCAGTGAAGAACTTCCACTTTGCTGAGTTAATGATAGCCAGAACACTCCAGGAGCATGCCTATACTGTTCTCTTTTGAGTTTAGATGGATTCGTGAGACAGCTTTCGAGAGCCAGATTGCACTGTCTAAATGAGATTCTTCACTCATCGTCCAAATTTAGTCTTTCCGCTTCTTAGCACTTTAACTCCCAATTTTAGTACTTTATAACTATATTACACGCAAACCTGTGCAGACTACTCCCACACGCATTGCTTACGTTCTGTGTACACTTATCATGTTCCCCTGCAATTTAGGTGAGGAGCGCGGGCTATATAATCAATACACCGGCGTGGGTCACGGGGAATGGCACTACCCTGCTGAAACATATGGTTACAGCCCTCAAAGTAGACGTAATTTTGGTGCTCGACCACGAGCGGCTGTACTCAGAACTCAGTCGATGGGCAGCAAAAGAGAACGAAAAGCACGCACAGGCCGTGGAGCAATTAGTGGAGAAGGAGCAAGCAGATAGGTTGAAGGACGCACCTGCACCCGGCACAGAGGACGCGGGGGCCAGGGATAAGGACTACTTTGATAAGTATTATAATATCGAACTGGTCAGGCTCTCTAAGTCGGGCGGGGTATGTTGCTGAGATTTGTATTGTTTACTTTATGTGATTAGT